AAATTAATTAATTTTAAAAAGCTATAAAAATAAGACGGCGGTTTATAGAGAAGGCAGACGTATAAATAGAAAAAATACGACGGTAATTTGAACTTAGGACGTGGTAAATAAATACGACAGTAGGTTTGTAGGTACTGTCGTAGTAAACTCCAAAATAATAAGTCGATAAATTAATCTCTCGCGCCATGGTATATTATTTAACACGTCGTTTTTTTGTAATATTCCAACGTGGATTCCATTACATTATACGACGTTGATTTCATTAAAGAATAACCGACGTGGTTTTTTACAATTAGACGGCGGTATGTGTATAAGGACCGCCGTGTGTTTAAAAGATTTATTGTATAAATTTGTCTCTTTCTTTCAGTTTCAGTTTTCATTTAGGGTTCCAAGTTCTTCTGATCTCTCTGGATGTAACAACCCAGACCTTAATTATTATTTAATTAATAATTTAATAGAGGAAAAGAATAAACTACCCCTAGAATATTTTATTAGGTTTTAAGTTGGCTTTTTAACCTGGAATGAATTTTGGAAATCCATTTGTACCATTGCGTANAAATTTGGAAAAAAAATCAGATTTTAAAATCAGACCCTCCCTTTCTCTCTCCTCACTCTCTCTTCTTCCTCGCGACATCTCCCCCCCCTCTGGTTTTCCAGCCGACATCACCCCTCCTCCCAGCCACCACCAGCGACGCCGGCCAGCCCAGATCAGACTGGCGACTCCCCAGCCTCCTTGCTCGACGTCCTCCCCCGCCGCCTGCCGCCACGAATCGCTGGAGAGAACCAGAAAATCGCGGCAGATTTTCTCCGATTTTCAAATCCCTCAAACTCCCTCCTCCGGCCACCAAATCGGACGAATTAGGTATGGTTTTTCGACTGATTTTTATGTTCTAGCTGATGGTTGGGTAGGTTTTGAGAGATTTCAAGGTTTGAAGGGTTGATTTTCGAGTTGGGTTTCTGCCGAATTTCAGAGCTTAGCTTCAGCCACTTGCGGCCACTTTTTGGCCATAGTCCAAGAACAAACGAGGTTCCAAATAGGGTATATTAGCTAGGATAGGAGTTTGGGCCAACATTGTGGAGAAAATCCAGTCACCGGAAATTGTTAGGCACACCCACGCGCTGCCGGCGCCGCGCGTGGGCGGCGCGTGGGCCAGGTAGCAGGAGCCACTCTTAGTCCTAGAATAATCCTCGTGTCCTCACGAGCGCGTAGGATTTCACAGATCTCAATTCGGATAACATTTGAACCCCGAACGGATCTCGCATACTGTGCGATTTCCTGGTCAATACGTTCGGACCGTTGGATCATAGCCAAACTGTAGTATGTTGATCTAGGTATTTTAAGGATTGTGTAGGATTCGATGGATCGTAAATCGGAGTCCTGGAGGCTCTGAAAAAGCCAACCCTAGGGCTAGGTTTACGGAAAATCGTTCGTCCCTCCGATCGTGCGATCGTGAGCAATCCAACCGTCCGATTGAGACCAAACTCTCGGGACATGTGTCCTAGACTTATCGGAACCTCTAGGAATGATCGGATCGGAATTCTGAGGTCGTGGATCCCACGGGGTCCCGAGTTGACTTTTGGGGACTTTTTCGCTTTTGATTCCCGAGTTATTTCTAAGTCAGGCCCTTTGAGAGGAAAGTTAATATGGGCATAGGAATGACCTTTAAAGTGATGCACGCACTTTTAGAAGCCGGGGGTCAAGGTTTTTAATTTAATATTATATTACTGAGCAGATTTTTTAATAAAATACTATGATGGTTATACAGGCACCCGGGCACCAGGCGACCCGCAGGAGGGACCTTCAAAGGGTCTAGCTAGCTCAAAGTATCTGTGAGTGGACCTTTTTGTTTTCATAAATGAATTTATGCGATTTAATCTCATTATTTGATCTTGAATGAGTTTATTCATTGATCAGAGTTTTAATAGCTTGATTTATCACTTTTATATGTTTTATTATTATATTTTATATGCTGCCGAGTTGAGAGTGCCTAGAGATTTTGGCATACTAGAGTTTTAGATAGTTAATAGATAAAAGGGCAGCAGAGTTTAGAGTTAAATAAGAATTTATTTTATTTCTCGTTAAATTATTTCTGAAACTATATTTTCTTAGAAACCACCATAGGTACCCAAGATTAATTAAGGTTGCCTTCGATAAATATGTTGCCTTCGGATTTAAATGGTTGCCTTTGGTTATAATGATGTCTACAGACATCCAGTTGCCTTCGGTTAGGTCAGCATGCTTGACATTGCCCCACGAGTTGCGAGGATGCCCGGGCCGTGAGGTGCGAGATTGCGGATCAGGTTGACCTAGTGTCCCCTGAATCCTGCGAGATTGCGGTTTGGGTTGACCTTGCGTCACCGAGACCTGCGAGAATGTGTCACTCTAGTGGCACGAGAATGGAATTGACGGAAACGTAAGGAATTGACAGAACTAAGGAATTGACGGGTTATATGGAATTGACGGAATAATAAATGGGTACACCTAAGTGGTAGATTTAAAGTTGATTTCAATGCTTTCGAGGACTTAATGTTTTAATCAAGTGTGTGATTGACGCTATATACATATATATAGATATAAATATGAATGCAGTGATTCCAGTACAAGTATATATATATAAGAAATGAATTAGTTTATATAACCGATTTTACAGTGGGGTTAGTATGTTCTTATACTATTTTTCTAAAGCTATGTTTTTGGTCCACTCACCTTTTCAATGTTTTACGCCCCCAGGCAGTAGTCGTGCGTCAGTGCGCCACCACCGGGCCGAGTCCATCTTCCGCTACATTCCTTGACAACGTAGGGTCTTGTATAATTATTTTATACTTGTAATCTAATCT